TCAAATGACTGACTCTGGGGTTATATATACCTAATATCTGGAAGTTTTCTAAGCATTTTTTGCTTTATTGTGGTTTTCGAAATAGTAAAAATAAGAAAAAAAATTTCACTAATATACCTGCATACTGCGTATACTCATATATCAGATTACCTTAGTATGTTCGATATTTGATTACATACATATGTACTTATTATTTAAAAAAATAAGTAAATCAAAAACTGATTTTTTAATCGATGTACTAAGGTAATCCCATATACAATTAGTTGTAGTATATGAATGTACTTGAAAAAAAATTTTTTTTTACCCATTTTCATCAATTTCGAAAACTGATTAGAAATTATGCCCATCAAGAAAATCTCTACCCAGGTATTATTAAATCACACAGTTATCTGGGTAATTTATTATAGCCATATAATAAAAATGTCTACTCAGGTACAAACCCTAACTGTGATAAATACTACTATTTAATTAAGGAACTAATACTTATTATCTAATTATAGCCTCCTCCCAGAGTAGATCATTTGATGAATACAAATTCTAATGTAATCGAAACCGTAATTGATAAATTTTGATTATATTAGAATTTGTAATTGTCAAATGACTAACTATAAGAGATTCTATATTTATGTAATAAGTATTAGTACTTAAGAATTTTTCTAGAATTAAATAATATTATATTTTAATGTATTCAAAATATATTGATTAGAATATAAAAATATTTGTAAATTGTATTGCTAACAAATTTATATAAGGAAGCTAGAAGCTAAATTATTTTGATTTTGCAATATTAATCTTTTTCAAATAATAAAACTTATATAAAAAAAATAAAATTATTTCACTTTTTATCAATTTTTACAATCTTTATTTTTATCATCGTCACAACCTTCAGCACAACCTTCATCATGATTACAAAATTCATTATCACAACCAAAATATTCATCATCTTCACGAACACAAAAATCATCTTCATCACAAATACAAAAATCATTATCACAACCACAAAATTCATCTTTATCACGATTACAAAATTCATCTTCATTATGATCACAAACTTTATCTTCATCACAACCTTCACAAATTTCCTCTTTATCACAATCTTTATCAAAAAATACAAGTGAT